TTTTCTGCGCATTTTGGGAGTGTTTTTTGGAGCATTTTATCCTCAACAATCTCTGCTAACTTGCCATGAACTTTCAGAAGCGAGGGAAAGCGAAGAGAGAGAGAGAGAGAGAGAGAGAGAAAAAGAGAGAGATCTAGCGGGAGTGCGAGAGGGCAAGAAGGAGCGAGAGACAATGAGAACGAGAACACGAGAGAGAGAGAGAGAGAGAGAGAGAGAGAGAGTCAGAGATACCGACAAATCCTTACAAAAACCCTTTCCCCTCACCGTATTAACCCCCGGGGGGTTCATCGTGTCGAGGCCACACACAGGATCTCCGCAGATAATTATTGGCCGTTTTCTGGGCATAAAACAATTCCCCCGGATTCCTCCTCTCCAATCCAATATACTGGTTCGACTCCACCACCTCTGCGGCGCGGTTCGTTCCGTTCGGCTCCTCTGAACGTAGATTGAAATGGCAACCAGTTCCCCCTACTCTGCATTGACTATTCTATCCAGCTGCCCGACCAAGCCACGCGTAAACTGGCCAACACTTTGCGTAAGGGCTTGGGAGGCCAATGATCTCGGCTATCCTGCACCTTAAAATTTTTTTTAGCGCAATTCTAGAGAAATTTCTCTCTAAAGGCCGTTTAAATAGGCTGCATAAATTCCTAAAGAATCTCTGCCAGCCTCCAAATTTACCTTCTGCCTCTCTCTCTCTCTCTCGCTCTCTTTCGATCTCGCTCGCTCGCTCTCTCGCTCTCGCTCTATTTCTCTCGTTTTCTCTCTCGCTAGCTATCTCTTTCTCGTTCTCTCGCTTTCTGTCTCTGTCTGGCTCTCTCTCTCTCTCTCACGTCCGCTCAATTCCCGATTTTCAGCCCCGACCAGATGTAAGCGATGATCTCAAAAAATTTCATGATCCTGCTCGGTTTTTTACTTTTTCAGCCGGGAATTTCGCAGGTATCTTACAACCGTTTCGGATTCTCTGCTAGTTTGCCCAAGGCATGCTAGCAGAGACCCTTCCGGAACGCGACCCGATTCTATGATTCCAGGCGATCCCCGAATGTGAGGAGTACCTATCCTGCCGCTCGGCCGTGCTGCGCCGTCATTTGTACTGCGTGGAGCGGGTGCGGCGACTATCGGCGGCCGTTTGCAAAGATGAGCATGAGTTTAGGTAGTTCTCACTCTTTCCTCTCTCTCTCTCTGTCTCTCTCTCTCTCCTTCTCACTATAACCCTCATTTTCAGGCAGTACCAAGTGCTCTCGATGCGCCACGAGGCCCAATTCTCGATTTGCGTGGCCAGGGAGAACGTGCTGAAGTGAGTTTGGAGTCGCACTCGCACCGCATCATTCTCAATCTCTCTATTTTGTCGCTCTCGACGTCCCTCTGTTACTCTATTTGTGCCTCTCCCGTCTCTCTCTCTCTCTCTCTCTCTCTCTCTCTTTCTCTCTCTGTCTCTCTCTTTCTCTCCCCTCTCGGACGCTCTCACTCTCTTTCTCACTTTCTCACTCTCGCCCTCTCTCTTTCACTCCCTCTCGGACGCTCATTCATTCTCGTTCTCACTCGCTCATTCTCTCTGTCGCTCTGTCGTTCTCTCTCTCTCTCGCTCTCTCGCCCTCGCTCTCACACCCTAAATCTCAAAGCATTTTAGGAAAAAGTCCGTGCCCACCAATGCTGCCGGCTGCCCTAGCCTACGTCGTTTCCCTAATGACACCCAGTGGGGCTGCGAGGTGGCACTCGCAGAAAGCCTGGGCGCGTGTGAGACTCTGCGTGCGTGCTGTCCCCAAGCGGAAGTGTCAGTTTTCCGCGTTTTTAAAGGGATGTGGTAATGAAAACTCGTTAGAAACGCCGAAATTATCGATTCTTGTGTTTTAAAGGGCCCAGAAGGCTATGCGAACTTCTTTTCAGCTGCTCCCGAGAATCGGCTGCTTCCTGGCTGACGCGAGAGGTCCGGAAAACCAGCGGAAACTTGCTGCGCTACACGGAGGACTGCTCAAATGATATGAGAAAGTTGATCAAGGGAGCCTTTTTTGGGAAGTGAGTCGGAGCTATCTAACTTGCGCTCTCTCGCTGACACTCTCTCGCTCTCTCGCTCTCTCGCTCTCCTACCCTTTCCCTAATTCTCTCGCTCACTCTCGCTCACTATCTTTCGATCTCTCTGGCTCTCTCTCGCCCTCTCTCGCTCGCACTCTCTCTTTCTCGCTCTCTTTCGCTCTCTCTCTCTCTCTCTCTTCTCTCTCTCTCTCTCTCTCTATCTCTTTCCGCCTATCGGGCCATTGAAGTGAAAATCCATAACCTCAAATTCCAGGGAAGACGTCTCGGTTGCGGAAAACATCGTGAAAGCGGATGCAAAACTTCGGCTCCTTTTTTACCAGCAGAATGGTGAGAGAAAGAGAGAGAATGAGAGCGAGAGCGAGAGAGATTCAGAGCGCTAGAGAGAGAGAGAGAGAGAGAGATATTTAGAGAGCTAGAGAGAGAGAGAGAGAGAGAGAGAGAGAGAGATGGCAACGAAAATTTTACTTCTTAGAAGTCCGCCGAAGTCCACAACGCTTCTATGGCCAGACAGGAGCGCCTTTTCACAGCATCCTGCCCCGATGGCACGCTTGGGGCCAACAGATTCCAGTCAGGTACGGGTCAGGCCTTGTTTCCGCAATGATCTCTGCTAGCCTGCCTACACACGATTCCGCGAAATTCCGTCTTTACAGTCCGATCCCGATCCCTCCGTCCCCTCCATGGCTACACCAGCTCCTATCGACGCGCCCGCAGTTCACCACCGTGTCCCCGCCGGTGCACGCCATTCCGAACGTGATTTCCAGGTAAGCAGACTAGCAGAGATTCTTGAAGAATCGGGATGCAAGGGCGGGCTAGCAGCGATCCCTTAGGAAAAATTTATGAGATTTTTCAGCCATAATCCGCCATCTCGACCTCGCCCGCTTCCACCGCCTCCTCCGCCGACTGCCAAGCCCATTTCCGAGCTGCAACCCGCTGATTTTGAGCTACGGTAAGCCCAAAAGATCGCAAAAATCTTTGAAAACTTGCCAACGTTTTACACTTGGAGTTTTAGGACAGTGACGGCGCCGAGGCGGATCTTATCTGTAGGAACGATAGGAGAGGAGCCGGAAAGAGGTAAATTTCCTGAAGGGTCTCGGCTGGCCTGCATTATCCTAAAGAACCCCTGCTAGCCTGCCATTGGTAAAGGATCTCTGCTAGCCTGTCCTTTCCTAAAGAATCCGAGCCGGTCAGCCTGGCCAGTAGCAATTTCTTGAATCCCAGTCATGATTCCTAAAAGTCATCTTTCCTAAAGTCATCTTTCCTAAAGTCATCTTTCCTAAAAGTCATCTTTCCTAAAAGTCATCTTTCCTAAAAGTCATCTTTCCTAAAAGTCATTTTTCCTAAAAGTCATTTTCCTAAAAGTCATCTTTCCTAAAAGTCATCTTTCCTAAAAGTCATCTTTCCTAAAAGTCATGATTCCTAAAAGTCATCTTTCCTAAAAGTCATTTTTCCTAAAAGTCATTTTTCCTAAAAGTCATCTTTCCTAAAAGTCATCTTTCCTAAAAGTCATTTTTCCTAAAACTAGGTAATCGTTTACTATAATTTTTCCTCCATCACTTTTTTCTAAAAACTATTTTTTTCGAAGAGTAATTGTTCCTGAAGTTAGGTATGCGAATAGGGATGCCACCTCCGCCTAACTTGAAAGCTGCTTGCTGTGTAGAAACGGCAAAATGCCTTGAATGCCGTCAGTCCTCATAAAAGCTCTTAGTCCCATCGGAGCCTATCCTATTTTTTGATTTCTGAATAGTTTTATGAATTCAAAGATAGCATAACTTGAATCAAAACATCCCGAAAAGATCTAGTACGGCATGGAGACATTAAAATTTTACGGCCCGGGCCTCTCCAAAAAAAAATTTTCTTGCAAAAAAACCAACTGAGAAATATTGATTTTTAGGAAAAATGACTTTTAGGAAAGATGACTTTTAGGAAAGATGACTTTTAGGAAAGATGACTTTTAGGAATCATGACTTTTAGGAATCATGACTTTTAGGAATCATGACTTTTAGGAAAGATGACTTTTAGGAAAGATGACTTTAGGAAAGATGACTTTAGGAAAGATGACTTTAGGAAAGATGACTTTAGGAAAAATGACACTTTAGGAAAGATGACTTTAGGAAAGATGACTTTAGGAAAGATGACTTTTAGGAAAAATGACTTTTAGGAAAAATGACTTTTAGGAAAGATGACTTTTAGGAAAGATGACTTTAGGAAAGATGACTTTTAGGAAAGATGACTTTTAGGAAAAATGACTTTTAGGAAAGATGACTAAAACCCCAATTTCTTGTTCTCTAATAATCTCGGCTAGCCCGCCCTGCTGTTCCCTAGTGATTTCTGCTAGCTTGCCCTACTGCTACTGCTGCTACTGCCAGCCTCACGAAACGCCTTTAAAGTTGTCGTTACAGTAATCCCACGAGCCCACAAACTCCACCGAAAAGCGAAGGCACGCAGCGACCACAGCGACTTGAAGACGGCCGAGAAGATTTTGGAAATGTTTGAGGTGAGAGAGAGAGCGAGAGAGAATAAGCGAAAGAGAGATAGAGAGAGCGCGAGAGAGAGGCGTTCATCATTCAGAAGCTCCCTGAAAATTCACATTTTAGGGCCCGAAAAAAGAAATCGCCCCCAACGACTTGTCGGCGTTGTTGATGGAGGAAAAGAGGAAAAGTGAAGCGGCTTTAAAGGAAACTGTAAGTCAGAGGAAAAACGAGAGAGAGAGAGAGAGAGAGAGAGAGGGAGAGAGAGAAAGAGAGAGATTTCGGCCTTCAGATGCCGCTCTTTGTGAAAATCTACACAACCAAGACGCCGACCACCACAATGGCCCCCACCACGACCCCACCGACCACGCAGAAAACGTAAGTTCCTCAAGAATCCCTGCCAGCCTGTCGGCGTTTAGATTCGCGCCGCTGGTGTTTGAGGGAGTTCGGAAGGACCGCCGGTTTGAAAATTTCGCCCCTTGGCGTAGTGCCAGGTGGCGAATGATTGAGGAGGAGACGGCTGGCACAGTGCCAAGGCTGGCCATGCATCGCCAGAATGTCAGCCGGACGGTCGGCACCTATTTTCAGGTAAGTAGCTTCCCGGAAAATTTTTGTCTTTGTTGAAAACGGGTGCTTTCAGGCTTGGCTTAAAGAAATAAGCATAAGCTCAAACCAAAGCCCAAAATAATCCTAAGCCTAAGCCACATCTAAGTGAACCTAGTCCAAGCCAAAGCCTAAGCCTAGCCTAAGCCCAAGCCTCAGACTAAGTAAGCCGAAGTCCAAGCCGGAGCCGAAGCCAAATCCTAGAAAATTGGATTAACAACATTCCAAAATATCGTTTTTCGACCAAGAATGGCCGATTTTTGTACACAAATCTCGCGTTTAAATTTTTTGAACTTTAGAAAGTTTTTCTAGTTCAAAAGTTATATTTTTTAGAGGTTTAGACCTATCGAAACCCCGCCTCCCCCCGATAACGCGAAAGCACCTTAAAAGACCCTACCCAACTTTAGCCCTACTTCGAGAAGCTGAAGGCGCTGAAGAAGGGCCAGCTCGGCCCCGCTCGATTCCACAGCTTTCCAAAGCGGGTAAGTAGAATTCAAGATACCGAAAAGCGCCAAAATCGCCCGGAACCAGCTAGGTCTCGACAGCCGCGCGACTGGCCAAACCACGCTTATTCCGGCGTTTAGCGTAGCTGTCGAGACCCAGTCGCGAGAAGGGGTCGATTATCGCGCTTCCGACTCCCGTTAAAAAGCTATTTCTTTAGAAAATCGAGCCCAAGGCCCCGGGCTCGGAACTCATCGAAATGGAGGTGACCAGGGAGAGCTTGGAGCCGTTCAGCTTCGGCAATCAGGCGCTGCCGATTCCGGATTTTGATAGCAGGTGGCTGGTTCAGGCTTGGGCTTGGCTTAAGCCTAGCTTGTGCTTGGTCGTAGGCTGACGCTAGGCTTAGGCTTAGGCTTAGGCTTAGGCTTCGTTCAGGCTTAGCCAAAGGCTTGGCTTAGGCTTAGGCTTAGGCTTAGGCTTAGGCTGAGGCTTAGGCAGATGATGAGGTTTCATCTGATGCTTTTTTCAGACCCTCCCCTACCAGAAGCATGCCCACTATTCAAAGCTCCGATGGATCGGACGAGCGGTCAGTGAAACTCGGGCTAGGAATCCCTAATTTTTAGTGAAATTTCGGTTCCGGAAGCGGTGCCGCTGCCTCGATTCGGATCAACAGCTCAAGTGGCCAGAAGCGCCAGTCCGCTGCGCGTTTTGCCAAAGATAAATGGGTAGGCAGAACTGGCTAGCAGAGATTCTTTAGGAAAGACAGGCTAGCAGAGATTCTTTAGGAGTCCGTAGATTTTGCTTCTCTCAGTCCCTTTAAAAATCGTTTTTCAGCCCGTACTCCTCCAAAATCTCCTATCGTAACCGACAGCAATTGGCGGTCGCCGACCCTGATATACGGTAGGTGCAGCAAATTTAAAAAAAAACAAAAAAAATACAGTAATGGCTTCTACGAAGTGGTCGACTCGACCGGTCGAAGACGGTAGATTTTTTTCATAACTTTTGACCTTGAATTTTTTTTAGGCAATTCTCGGCAGGGAAGACGCCGAAAAGCGAGGGGTGAGTGTTTTCAAGACTTGGCAAACTAGCAGGGATTCTTCAGGTACTGATCTGCTAGCCGGGGGGGGGGGAGAACTAATCCTTGTTTTTCGCTTTTTGTTTTTGTTTTAAGAATAAGATCGGTATCTTCTATTGTTTTTTGTAGTTTTAGATTGCTAGAAAGTTACAAAAAATACGTTAAATACTTAGGAACATTCAAAAATTGTGACTTTTTTCGTCATTTTCCAGCTATTTTCGACCAAAAAGCCAAAAAATTTTGAAAATGTTTACAGGTATGTTTGTATATCTAAAAACTGTGTAAAATTCTATAAAAATGGTTTAATTTTTGCTATCGGGCCGTACAGGATTGCTGGGAAAAATCAATTCCCCCCCCCCCCCCCGCTAACAGTCCAGAACCGAAATTTTCATCGCAACTTTCTGGATTTACAAGATTTCCACGCTCCTTTAAATCCTAAAAAAAATGGATTTACTAGGCGAAACCCGGCCTTCATGGTCGAGGAGGAAATCAAGTCGGTCAAGCGGGTCGCCATCGGCCCGCAAAAACATTCCGGGCGGACCGGAGGGAAGCCGGAGAAGCGGAAGGCCCGAAAACGGAGGAAGCGCATCAACCGGAAATCGCGTAACTTCACGGGACCTTTAAAAAAATATGTGAAACTTTCAGAATTTTTGGAGCGCACAACGCAAAAACCGGAAGAGGCAGGGGGACCGGAAATTGTGGTAAATAATAAATATTTTAAGGTTGTTTATGGTGGCTAATTCTTTTGCTTTTGGTTTATTGAATTTCATACAAAAATTCGCGTTGAAAATGTCGAGAAAATCCGAATTTTAGGCCGACGACAAGAAGTTGATCATCAAGACGAGTATCAGACAATCGGGAGTGAAAGTGGAGGAAGATCAGGAGGTTGGGAACGTTCTGTCAAGCTGTCTCTCTCTCTTTCTCTCTCTTTCCCTCTCTCTCTCTCTCTCTCTTCATCTCGCTCTATATTTACCTCTCTCGCTTTCGCTCTCTCCCTCTCCCTCTCTCGCTTTCGCTCTCTCCCTCTCTCTTTCTCTCTCACTCTCTCTCGCTCTCATCCCCGTTTTTTAGATCCCTGAAACCGTGACCCCAAAAATCATGCCCAAAACGGAAATTGTGGAGCCGAAGCTTCCAGGCGAGCCATCGATCGAGTCAGCAATGTAAGTCAGCGTAGGCTTAGGCCTAGGATTGGCTTAGGCTTAAGCTTACAAGGAGATGGTCTCAGCTGGGAATCGAATTCGGATTTGAAAATTTGCACACTTATAGAGCTCGACGAGACAAATCGATTGGTGTAACTTTCAGCTGCTGATACAATAACCACGCCGAGTTATAAGCATTTTAAGTTTTTGCATACATTTTGCAAAATTTTCGCCGTAGCTTCATAGGCCTTCCCCGCCTCCACCATCACCGTGGTCTGGTGGCCTAGTGGTGTAGTAGGCGGGCTCCGTTCGAACCCGCTCACGGTTTTTATTTTTTTGCTTTTTCGTCCGAAGGTTCCTCTTTGCTTTCTGAAGGCCTTGAATAGCTTTTTACGCATTATTTTAACTCATCTGATGCGCAGACAACATAACTTCACCGTAAAAAACTTTTCTTACTGGGCTGGAGCCCCCAACAACCTATGACTATCATTCCCAAAAAAATTTTCGCTTATGAAAATTTTTGTTCGGATAACACACCATCCTACTATATATAAAAAAATAGTGTCTGTGTGTGTGTGTGTATTTGCATGCACTTCCGTTTGGATGTTCCGCCCCTACAGCCTCGGGGAAGGGTTTTTTGGATAGGGAAGAAACGACAATAGGTTTAGAATGGTCCGGAATCGACTGCACACACATAAAAATTTTGAAAAATTGTGGTTTTCGCTATGAAAAATAGGTTTTTGTAAAACCCTGTTTGTTAGGGGAAATTAGCATGCGCCGGAAGCAGGAAGAGCCTATATAAAGGGACAGATGAGCGGTTTTTCAAAATTTTTTTTTTGCTAGAATTCAGGGAGAAACATGCAAATTAAGGACTTTCACAGGTCCTGGACGGGGCCAGGGTTGAAAAGCCGCGAAGCGGTTTTTCAACCCTGGTTTACAATAAATTACGTTTACTCCTGGATTTTTCATATACTTTGAATTTTCAATTTATTTTGGGATCTGCATCGTCCTTTCGGGTAAAAAATCTAATTTTTTTCAAAGAGATTTTTTTTTAGCCATTTCTCACCAGAGGATTTAAAATAATGCGTAAAAAGCTATTCAAGGCCTTCAGAAAGCAAAGAGGCACCTTCGGACGAAAAAGCAAAAAAATAAAAACCGTGAGCGGGTTCGAACCCTCGTTAGATTCCCCGGAGCCCGCCTACTACACCACTAGGCCACCAGACCACGGTGATGGTGGAGGCGGGGAAGGCCTATGAAGCTACGGCGAAAATATTGCAAAATGTATGCAAAAACTTAAAATGCTTATAACTCGGCGTGGTTATTGTATCAGCAGCTGAAAGTTACACCAATCGATTTGTCTCGTCGAGCTCTATAAGTGTGCAAATTTTCAAATCCGAATTCGATTCCCAGCTGAGACCATCTCCTTGTTAGCTTAGCTTAGACTTGGGTCGGCTTGGGCTGAAATAGACAAATATTTCAGTGATTGCTCTCCGCTATTGAACAATATTCCGGACGACGCCGAACAACGGCGCAAAATTTTGAGCGATCCGGCCAAGGTTTGTGTGGAATTTTTTTTGAACTTTTCCTCAAGAATCTCTGCTAGCTGACCCTGACTAGCAAATCCCCTGAATTACAGTACGCCGCCATCTCCTCCTGCGAGCTGTACGCGGCGTGTGTTGACGAGATGAATGCTCAGGTCAGGGTACGGTAGCGGGTCCAGGTTTTTGGGTTTAGGAAGAGAAATGTCAGCCGGATGTGGGGCGGCTGCTTCCTGGTTTGCCGGGGAGACGATTGGGAGATTGTAACAAGGAGATAATCCCGAAATATCAGGTATTTTCACTAGCACACTCTCTCTCTCTCACTCTCTTTCTCTCTCTCTCTCGCTCTCTGTCTCTCTCTCTCTCTCTCTCATTTTTCCTTCAGAAACTCGACGCGATGGGCCGTCAACTCGAAGGCGTCTTCATCGAGTGCCTGATGGGCGAAATTGCCCTCCAAAGCCAGCTGGGAAGAACGGTAGAATTTCATGGCGTAACGTAACGTATTGTCATGAATTCCTAGTGAATACCGTAATCCCCTAATTTCAGCCGCTACCCTCCGCCACCTGTGCCTCCCCGCCCTCGCTGCCACCACTGGCCAAGAACTGCCAGAAAAATGTGGCCACCGCGAAGCGGATATGCGAGAAATACGCGGACTGCTGCCCGTCAGTGCATAGGTGCGTAGCGTGGGTTGTACTTCGTAGTGCAGGGCTTGCGAATTTCCTCAAGGTTTTTGCTAGCTTGCCAGGCTTGAGTGAGAACACGAGAGTGAGCGAGCGAAAGGGAGAGAGGCAGGAAAAAGATATAGACAGCGAGAGAGAGAGAGAGAGAGAGGAGAGAGAGAGAGAGAGGAAGAGAGAGACAGAAAGAGCGAGAGAGAGAGGGAGAGGGAGAGAGAAAGATAGGAAAGTAAGAGGGTCCGAAGATCGGCATTTTAGATAACTTTCGAAAGTCAGAATAACAATCCTTGCTCAGTTGCCGCGCCAAAGCTGACGAGTCCCTTGAAGCAGCAGCCTACAAAGATGAAAAATCGCGGCTTTTCGACGAGGCCGCCCAGTGCCAAATCAACGCCGCCCGCGAGTTCCGCCTCAAAAAGTACAAAAAGGTCGAGAAAATTTCCGGCGGATTACTGTAGACAATCTCTGATTAATTTTTTACAGATTTTTCCTTTGCCGATCCAATTTTTAATCTTTAATTGTTAATTGTCTTTTTAATGATTTAATTTTTAATCGATTACGCCATGATTATTACCCCGAGTTATAGAAAAATTAAAAACTTGCGATTTTTGCCGATTTTTTTTCGTAATAGTCTCTAAAGTTAAACCTCAACCAGCCATTTTTACCCCACTCGAAGAACCGGTACTTTTGTGTGATATTTTTTAATGTATTTATTTTAATAAATTTTAGCACTTTTTTGCGGTTGATTAAACGGAATTACGGCGTATAAATTGCAGAATTCTGGGCTTCTTATGGTATTTCAATTAAGCGGAAAAATAACTAGGGATACTGTAAATCTATGGTCGGGTACGGTAGCTTTTAAAGGGACGGGATCGGCCCCTGCGAAAAATCGACCCCTTCCCCGACTAGGTCTCGACAGCTACGCAACACTCCAAATTACGCCTATTCCTTCCCAAAATACACAAAAAACGAAAACTTCTAAAAACGAAATTTACGCTTGTCATTTGGTGCATCCTGTAGCTGTCTAGATCTAGTCAATGAGCGGGGTCGTTTCCCGACTTCCGGGCCCCTTTAAAGCGTCAAATGGAGAGCACTGGCTAACAAATTGATGTCGCTGCGCAACGAGTTGACGGCCAGCATCAGCGAGCGCTGGTTGTTCAGCACCTGAAATTAGAATGGCACGAATTTCCTGAAGAATCCCTGCTAGGTGCCCCCTACAGACTCCAAACTCCAACCTCCACGCTCTCGGTGTACGCGTTGTACCGGACGACGAACGGGCGCTTCATGTTGTTGGTGAACATTCTAGAGTAGTGCGTAGGTTAGGATTTGGGCTTAGGCTTATGCTTAGCTTATGCTTAGCAGAGGCTTGGCTTAGGTTTGCCTAGGCTTAGCTTAGACTTAGCTTAGGCTTGGCTTAGGCTTTGCTGGAGGCTTACCTTAACTTTTGCTGGGCCTCCTCAAAATTCCGAGTGTAGAAATAGGCGTCTTGGAAGGTGGTGATCAAACATTCCTGCTCGACGACGCGCTCCGGGTCGAAGCGGAGGACTTTTGGCTTGCCTTCGATCGCATGCTAAAAGTATTGCTCTCTCTCGCGCTCTCTCTCACTCTCTCTCTGTCTCTCTCTCGCTCCTTCTCTCACCTGCAGCTCCCCGGCGCTGCTCAACAACCCTGCGCCGTAGATCTTGTAAGGCGGATTGTTTCGATTTTCTTTCCCTCCAGACGTATCGATCGAGTCGAGGTGCGAGTCGCAGGAGAGCCCGAATTCGATCGAGAAGAAGTAGAGCTGAAATTGGAGCTAGAGGGCAGGCTAGCAGCGATTTTTTAGAATTTTTTTAAGCAAACGAAGCAGCAGAGATTTTTCGGAACGCGCCAAGCAGGCATGCTAGCAGAGACCTTTCACCTACCGTAGCCAGCTTGCTGAGGTCGTCCTCCGAGGCTCCGAGAGAGGCGAGCCCAATTTCGTGGCTGAACTGGGCAAAGTCTGGATCCGCAAAAAGGGCCATATGGCCCATCAGCTCGTGTACAGTATCTCTGAAATTGTTTGGCTATCTCTCTCTCTCAATTTCTCTCTCTATCTCTCTGTCTCTCCGTCACTCTCTCATTCTCTCTCTGTTTCTCAACTCAAATCTCTTACGGTTCCGGGGTGTAAAACGGATCGGCATGATGTCGAATATATTGCGTACAGAAGAATACTCTGTACGCCAGCCCGGCCAGGAAGTCGCGCGCCGTCAGATAACCCGCCACTGGGCGGACGCGAAAGCCGGTTTTTGCTGAAAACAGTAATTTTCCTAAAGAATCTCTGCTAGCCTGCCCTTTCCCAAAGAATACCTGCTAGCCTGCCTGGGCCTGTGAAAGCTAGCAGAGATTATTTAGGACAATCTTGAAGACCAACCTCTTAAAAAGACGCTGATATCTTCCAGCTGTGGGATGTTGTTTTCAGAATATCCACAATGGCGCTCGAGTAGCTCGAAGTTGTCGAGGAATTCCTGGCAAGCGTATCTAAACCACGTTTTTAGAGAAGGAGAGAGAGAGAGAGAGAGAGAGAGAGAGAGAGAGAGATAGAGCGACAGAGATAATCGGATTTCGTACTTTTTGTGAAGCTCTCGCAGCCTGCGGTAGATGATGCCCCACGTCTTCCGCTCCACCTCCGAGTATTCGATTCTGGGAATCGATTCCCCGCTGAAAAAACTCTCAATGATCTCTGCTAGCGTGCCCTTACTGCTTGTGGTTGATGGCCACCTCGGCGAACATCATGCGGCGCTTTCGGTAGTCCTGGTCTTTGAAGCCCTGAATGGTCAGGCGGTTTGGCTGAGGCTTAGGCTTAGGTTTAGGCTTAGGCTTAGGCTTAGGCTTAGGCTTAGGCTTAGGCTTAGGCTTAGGCTTAGGCTTAGGCTTAGGCTTAGGCTTAGGCTTAGGCTTAGGCTTAGGCTTAGGCTTAGGCTTAGGCTTAGGCTTAGGCTTAGGCTTAGGCTTAGGTTAGGCTTAGGCTTAGGCTTAGACTTAGGCTTCAAAGCGACCCACCGGATGGTCAGCATCCAGTCCGGCGCCATACATGATGACGCGCTTCGCGCAGATGTCCAGGTCGGCGATGTGCTTTGGAAACCATTCACAACCCGTTGTCGCGTCTAAAAGAAGAAGTCTAAAAGGAGCTGCTGTCATTGCCCCTTTATAACCGCGAAACAAGCTATTAAACTCCCACCGTTCGATCCGGGCTCCACCAGCTTTTCGCTCTCCGTCTGCTGGGGTTGGATGGAGAAGGAGACCTCGTGTACCTGCAAAAGGGCAGGCTAGCAGAGATCATTTGGGAATGGAAGGGGTAGGCTAGCAGAGATCATTTGGGAATGGAAGGGGTAGGCTAGCAGATATTCTTTTGGCGATTTAACCCACATCCAGCCCATTCCCTCTCATGTGGGCCATCGCCTGCTCGCTGTCCATCCCGTATTCCAGCTCGAGCTCGAGGAGGGTGTCCAGAGTATTCTGGTGGAATTTGGGTGTATTTTGTGGCTAGAGCACGTTTACCTGATTCTCCTTGGAGTCGCGCGTCTCGATGTGCTTCACGGAGATGTCGGCCTGAAAGAAGATGGTACGAAAGACCATTGCTCTCTCTCACTCGCTATCTCCCTCCATCTCTCGCTTTCTCTCTCTCCCTCTCACACTCTCCCAGACCCTCTCGCTCGCTCTCTCTCTCTCTCTCTCTCTCTCTCTCTCTCTCTACCACTCACCGGCATCGCCGCCAGCATCTCGGCAATCTGTCGAGGGCGTTTTGGAGTCTTCGCGATTACGGTAAGCACAGGTTGGCCCTCATCCACCTCACGGATCGAAAGCTCGCGCTTAAAAAATTTGTGTTTGGACTTTCCGCGCCCCTTAAAATCAAATCTTTCTCGGTGTCTTTAAAGTATGAAATACGGGCAAGCCAGCAGCGACCCTTTGCAAATATGTGACTAGGGGAGGCTAGCAGAGATTCTTTAGGAAACTGGCGATGCCATTGCCTTGTCAGCCCCTTTAAAGCCGGCTTCCCCGCCTACCTTTAATGCCTTCGCATCCTGTTCCGGGACAAACGGAATCCCGAGCGATCCACTGCGCCGGAAGCGCCGTTTGAAGTCCTCCAGGTTGCTTAGCGAGCTGAAGGCTACGGTAGGCTACAAAGTACACTGCATACTTGGTGGCGGATAGTGGTGGGTGCTCGAGGTTGGTGACGTCTTTGGTGGCCGCGCGGGTGTAGTACGAGAATTTCATCGCCGAGGCCATGGCCTTAAAGGGAGGGTGACAGGCGCGAGATAGAGAGAGAGAGAGCGAGAGAGAGAGCGAGAGAGAGAGAGAGAGAGAGGGAGAGCTATGCAACTCTAAACCCCAGCCTAAGCCTAAGTCTAAGCTCAGGCCTAAGCCCAAGCCTAAGCCCAAGCCCAGGCCTAAGCCCAATTCTAAACCTAAGCGAAGCCTAAGCCTATTCTTAAGGCCAAGCCCAAGCGAGCAAAGCCTAAGCCTAAGCCGAAGCCTCAGCTTAATCGGAAGACGAAGGGAAGCCTAAGTCTAACCGAAGCATGAGCCAAAGCCTAAGCCTAAGCTTAACCTGAGCCCAAGCTACCCGCAGATCCGTCCGCGATTGTGAAAGCCAGCGCCGCCAAGGAGCCGAAAAGCTTATTTATAATTCGGCACTGCCTAGGCCCTATATCTAGGCCCTCCTTGGCCCTGTGCGTTGTGTTGGGCCCTAATGAACGACACCCAATCCGTGGGGTGCATTCTTGATTTATTGGCCTGGCGGCGCGAAGGAGCATGGCTCCTTCCAGATTACACGCACCATCATTCGTGGATAGATGACGTGGCGGCGAGAGAGGAAGAGAGAGCGAGAGAGAGAGCGAGAGAGAGAGATAGAGAGAGAGAGAGAGAGAGAGGGAGAGAGAGAGAAGAGAGATATCAGACGATCTTCGTGTTTAAAGGGACCGCGACAGACGTTTTTCGTAAACCAGACCACGACCAGTCTGACGCAACACCTTTCTCTCGCTTTCTCTCTCCACTCTCTCGCTTTCTAACAATTATTTTAAAGCAAACCAGGGTTGAAAAGCCGCTTCGCGACTTTTCAACCCTGGCCCCGTCTGACCCATTTTATCCTGCAGTTTGCATAATTGTCCTGCATTCAAACGACAAAAAATGCAAACAACCTCTCCCATCCCGTTATATAGCCGAATCCCAACTTCCGGTCTATTCTAATTATAACTAACAAAGAAGTTTTCACAAAAACCTAAATTTATTGTCGAAAATAGGTGATTTTGCTAAATCTCATATGCGTGCAGTCATCTCCAGACCATTACGCATCTAATGACGTATCATACGTACTTTAAAATTCATTCCCTATCGAGATATCCTCCGGACAGACAGACGGAAGTGTAGGCAAAGTGGCACACACACACAGACACTATTTTCCTATCCTATAAGCGAGAAATTTTTATATATAGTAGGATTCCGTTGTAGTTTTATACGGAAATTCCAAAAATCATACCCCGAGACAGCTAGCTCTCTAGAAAGTACGCCCAAAACAGCCTTCGAGGGCAATTTTTGAAATCTTTCTCTGCTGAAAACACCAAAACTAGAATAAACCCCGCTTTTTCCATCAACTTTGACTTTTTGGAGCTATTTCCAGCAATTTGGGATAAATTAGGTTTTCTCGGATTGCCGAAAACCCGATTCCAAACATTGCCAATTTACTCCTTGATTTTTGGTGTCCGTTTTCGAGGGCTTTTTGGTAAGCCCTAGCCTAATCCCAATCCTTAGCCAAGAAAGCCTAAACCTAATCTTAAGCCTAAACCTGAGCCTAAATCTGAAGCTAAGCTATCTGAAGCCTAAGCTTTAGCATAAGGCTAATCGTAAGCCTAACACTGCATAAGCTAAGTTTAAGCCTAAGCCTAATTCGAACCCTATGCCTCAGCCTAAGCTCAGCTTAAGCCAAGTTCCCGCCTCCTTCTGGTGCCCTTTAAACCACCCAGTCTTCTCGAGCCACCCCCGAGGCTGCTTCGTCACTTATCAAATTGAGGCTCCTCCCGGAATGTGGCCCTGGGCTTAACGGACAGAGAAACGGATGCACAGACAAACACCCCGGGAATAGACTTCGTTTTCCGGTCGAGTGACCCGGTGCCGGCGATTTGGAAACACTTTTCGTTGGGTTTCGCGTTTAGACTGAGGCTGAGGCTTCGTCTTGACTTAGGTTTAGGCTTGGGCGTATGCTTAGGCTTAGGCTTAAGCTTAGGCTTAGGCTTAGGCTTAGGCGCAGGCTTAGGCTTAGGCTTAGGCTTTGGTTAGGCTTAGGTTTAGGCTTGGCTTAGGCTTAGCTTGGATTTGGGCTTAGTCTTAGGTTTATGCTTAGGCTTGGCTTAGGCTTAGACTTCGGCCTCAGTGTGCCTGACCTCTGGCCCCGAATGCTCCCAATGCTAACCTATTTTTCGTGTCTGTCCCCGAAAAAAAACAGAATTTCCGTCGGGCACCTCCCAACGTATTCCGTATTCCGGTGGGCCACGGTTGGGCCCGGAAAACGGGACGCTCCTCGGGACAATTGCTTTACGCCCCTGGCGCGTCTCGTGGTTTATTTTTTCGGAAGCTCAAGCTAGGGCTAGGGCACCAGAAATGCCGTTCGGATTTGTAAGAGGTTGGACGTATCTAAACACCTCTGTTAGCTGGCCTTTACAATCTCCAAAGCTGCTCTTTCTGTACCCAAATTTTTGTCAATTTTTCAGTCACTCGCCGGCCCCTTGGAGATTCCCAAATGATCTCTGCTAGCCTGCCCCTTCCATTCCCAAATGATCTTTGCTAGCCTGCCCCTTCCATTCCCAAATGATCTCTGCTAGCCTGCCCCTTCTATTATCAAAGGATCTCTGCTAGCCTGCCCCTTCCATTCCCAAATGATCTCTGCTAGCCTTCCCCTTCCATTCCCAAATGATCTCTGCTAGCCTGCCCCTTCCATTCCCAAATGATCTCTGCTAGCCTGCCCCTTCCATTCCCAAATGATCTCTGCTAGCCTTCCTCCCCCTGACAAAAATCAGGATGAAATTTGGACGTTTACGAGAGCGAATCCCAAGCAGAATAACATAACCCATAAAACCCGCCAGTGACCACCGCGATGCGCCACCCCCAAAATCGAATCATCCCCACGAGGGGCGGAAAACCCGGAATAAATGGGCTTAAATCGAAATTTATCGAATTTAAGGAGGCCAGCCCCCGGCCATTCCTCCCGGGACGACCATCCCCAATTTTCCCAGCATTCAATTTTTTGAGCTGATTTTCTGTCGAAGATGATGCGGAGCCGGAACTGAAGCTTTGGTCATGAAGGGTTCAATTCTCAAGGAGCTTCGGCTTAGGCTTAGGTTCAGACTAAGGTTTGACTTCGCTTTGGCCTAGCTTAGGATTAGACTTATGCCTTGGCTTATTCTTAGGCTCAGGCTTTAGCTTTCATTAAGCTCAGGCTTGGGCTTAGGAGTCGGCTTAGGATTCGGCTTACCTTAAGTTTGGGTTCGGCTTAGGCTTGGCTTGGTCTTAGGCTTAACTTAGGTTTAGGCCTTAGCCTGTTAGCACCTCCACTTGCCAAAATCCGCAAAGACCCTTGGCTAGCTGTCTGCCCAGCTCTGACCTCCGGTCCTGCATCCCCCAAGAATCTCTGCTATCCCACCGCGCGGTCACCAGTCGCACATGATCCCTGCTCGCAACTGCTTTCTGCTAGCTTTCATGGTCTCTGCTACACACTTTCATGGTCCCTTTCACCACTAAAAATTTGTGTTCTTTGGTGCCGATCCAGATATTCAGGGGCCAAAAAAGGCGAATTGTTCCTTGTGGCCTTTTCCGGTCGTCGGGATTCCTCAATTATTCGGGCCAAGCCGGCCAAGCCCGGTGTTTTACGATACCTGATTGGCCCCCGGGGGCAGCCGTTGAAAATTCTATTTGATGGCCCCAAGCAGATACCGTAGTTGAGTTCCACAGATTGTGTGAATTCAGTGCTGTTTTTTGGCGCCTAGGGACGGGGAAGCGGATTTTTGCTCTGAAAGCTCCATTCGCAAATGATCTCTGCTAGCCCGCCCTCGAACTCTCGACTTTTGACTATACGAACCCCATGCCGAGGCTTCTCCTTCAAACGCATCCCTCCGTTTTTGCCGGGATGGATGGGCCATTTTTCGGCTGTTTTCCATTCGATGCCAATGGGCCCCCAAAGGCGCCATTTTTTCCAGAATCTATTACCATAAATTTTTGGCCCATCCACGGGTTTTGGCTGGGAGAAGATGGCTCTAGGTGGGCGCATGCTAGCAGAGATCATTTGGGAATGGAAGGGGCAGGCTAGCAGAGATCATTTGGGAATGGAAGAGGCAGGCTAGCAGAGATCATTTGGGAATGGAAGGGGCAGGCTAGCAGAGATCATTTGGGAATGGAAGAGGCAGGCTAGCAGAGATCATTTGGGAATGGAAGGGGGCAGGCTAGCAGAGATCATTTGGGAATGGAAGGGGCAGGCTAGCAGAGATCATTTGGGAATGGAAGGGGCAGGCTAGCAGAGATCATTTGGGAATGGAAGAGGCAGGCTAGCAGAGATCATTTGGGAATGGAAGGGGCAGGCTAGCAGAGATCATTTGGGAATGGAAGGGGCAGGCTAGCAGAGATCATTTGGGAATGGAAGGGGCAGGCTAGCAGAGATCATTTGGGAATGGAAGGGGCAGGCTAGCAGAGATCATTTGGGAATGGAAGGGGCAGGCTAGCAGAGATCATTTGGGAATGGAAGGGGCAGGCTGGCGGAGATCATTGAGCTTTCGAATTCGGAATTCACGTCCCAAAGCCCACGCATCTGGTTTCTGTTTTCCGGATTTTGCAGCAAATTCATTGCCCATCCGGGTGGGCTCACCCCGGAATAACTAATCAGGTTATAGGGCATAGCTTTCGCTCTCTCTCTCTCATCTCTCACTCTCACTCTCTCTCTCTCTTTATGACCTTTTTTGGATTTGAATATGGGCCCATTTCAAGGCAAAACCAGCGAAAAAACAAAGCCCCGAAATGTCGTTGTTGTCGCTGTTCATTTTGGCCATAAATTATGCCACGTCCTGGCCCTGCTACCGTAGTCTGAATTGCTTCACGAAAGATCGCTGCAACATTTTGTCTGTTGCTCCCTGTTGCAGCGTCTGTATCTGGCGCTTTGTATCGTGCTCCTTTCCTTGTTCAATGTATCTCGATGCGCAGACTTAAGCTCAAGCTGAGGCTGAGGCTTGTGCTTAGGCTTTGCTTAG